TAGATAGATAGATAGATAGATAGATAGATAGATAGATAGATAGATAGATAGATAGATAGATAGATAGATACCGGTAGATAGATAGATAGATATTATGTCTTGATTTAAACATGCACATTTACTTAAAACTGACTCCTAAACAATTTAAAAATTATTAACACTCAAGACCCACAACGACAATGAATATAATTGACAGAGTTTGGTTGCTAAATTTACACACCAAAATATACCATTCTCTTCCATTAAAACTATACTCCGTACTCTTCCCATACCATGCGGCAATATTCCCTTTGGGTACAATCCATTGCAAATGAATCAAGCAACTCTTTAAACAGGATTGCCATCTTGGCAAAGAGGTTGTGATCTCTGAATAACGAGGTCTAGCACTAAACCCCATCCGTAAAAAATAAGAAGGTCACTTACTTGATGGTACATATGGTTCAAACTCTCCACTGTTTTCCAGTACTCGCGGTGATGCAAACTTTTGCTAATCTGAGCCGCAATCATTGTCACCTCCGTAAGCGAGACATAGCATAAGAACTACTCCATGCTGTATTCTAGTAATAAGCCATGTGGGTTTGAGCTGATTCTAGTAGTGATACTAGCCACTCTCAAAGCTACGTCAGGATCAGCTGAGTGATGGGTACCGTCAGACGTCTGGATGCTTTCCTTGCCAAGAGTTCTCCCCAAACCTTCCCCAGCACAAAAAGCCAGAGTGTTCGCACTGTGCGCCTCTCGGAAATCCCAGTGTCTTGTGACAGTCATCAAATGCTAACGTTCAAAAAAACATTGCTCCCAGCGATAATTTGTTTTCACCATTCCTAGTTAGTTGGCGGCACTGGCTCCTTTGTTCTTACTCCTCCACTAGAGTGAGATTAATAGCCAAAGTGTTCATATTCAATAAACTCCCTTAATCTTGGCTTCTTGCTCGCACCCGTTACATAGATAAAGGTTCCCCTTGCACATATGTGCTAGTCATTCCTGACTCTAGGGGGCGGTGCTCATCTCCGTTTCAAAGCCGAAGAGCCAGCGCTATCCGAAGAGGTCTCTGTGGTCATGTGGCCGGCATGACTAAATGCAGAAGGCGCACTGAATGCTGTTCCCTTCCCACCAAAGGTGTTTCCTATTTTTTCTACTTGCATTTTTAACGTGCTTTTGAACTGCTAGGTTAGCAGAAGCTGGGACAAGTAACAGAGGCTCACTCTGTTATGCAGCGCTAGGGATTCGAACCAACATTTCTGACTGACAAGCTCAGCGTCTTAGCCACTGAGCTAGAGTTTGCGGGAGTGGGCTCCGCGAGGCCATTCTGTGTGGATGACAGGTCCGTGTGGGGTACATGAGGCATGTTCCCCCACTTCCTCCCCAGAAAATGGCAAGGACCGGGCTGTGCCTGCGTTTAAATGTTTTTGGGGAGGGCTTATTATCCAGGAAGGTCTTATTTTCAGGGAAACAGGAATGGCCTTCAAAATACCAGAATACCTGATCTTTTTTTTTTCTCCTTTGACAAATCACTACAGCTGGCTGCACCTTTCTCTGCTCTGCTTTTCTTGACAGTATCCATGTGCCCCACATCAACAATTGGCAGTCTTTTCAATCCCTCCCCAACCCCCCATTTAATTCCTTTCACAGTGATTATGTCCAGATTCTCGGCATCTGCATTATCTGCAGTTGGTAACAGTTTCCGCAGGAGGACCAAGTAAAATGCCAAATTTTGCACCGGATGAACCAAACCTGTCTTCGCTTAGATGTTTCAGTTTCGAATCTGCAAACTTTTCCATCGTGGCTTAAAGGAATTTATCTCACTTAATGGCTTTATCTCACTTCACTTTATCTTGTTTTATTGCATTTTAATAATGCTCCTGTTTGATGTGGTCCATTGACTAATCTATAAAGGTCATCATATTGCATCATTATAGTTACTTAATCTTATGGGAATCTAGCAAAACAGGAGTTGGTCATGATAAAAAAAACCATGGGTTAATAACATAAGGCAATCTATAAAACAAGCCTAACTGTTACTATTATAATTGTACACTGATCTGCAAGATGGGCAATCTCTGTTGTTGTTGTTGTTAGTTGTGTCCAACCCATTACGATCCCATGGAGAACATTCCTCCAGGCCTTCCTGTCCTCTACTATCCCCCAGAGTCCATTTAAGCCTACTGCTTTGGTGACTCCATCCAGCCACCTCATTCTCTATCGTCCCCTTTTTCTTTGGCCGCCAATCTTTCCCAGCATGAGGCTCTTCTCCAGGGAGTCTTTCCTTCTCATTAGGTGGCCAAAGTCTTTGAGTTTCCTCTTCAGGATCTGGCCTTCNGCCTGACATAGAGATTCTCCATCAAACAGGTTCATGGTTATCCCAAAAGTGCTTTTTCAAGAGGCAACTGGATTTTCTTGTTTCCTGAGGACACAGACAAGCCTCCAAGTGGCCTCAACGACTCTCTAAAAAGGATGCAAATGACCTGCTTTCTGCAGGGAATATTAACCCTTCCATTCCCCACCATCCAGTCAGAGCTGAAGAAGCTTCTTGGATGAGAAGTGAAAAGTCTTCGAAGGAAAACCAGAAAATTGAAAAAGCACTTTTGGGATAACCATGAACCTGGATGACTGAGACATTTTCCCCATTATGTATTTTATCTTTGGTGACAACAGAAAAATAAATATGCTAAGAAGAGAAGATGTGACTTGCCACATTCATATTATGACTTGCCACAAACATCTTTGGGACAAAACAGGGGGGAAAAAATCCAAGAAACATCCAATACCAATAACAAAATGCATGTGGAGCCTTACATCACAATCTCAAAGTCCTGCTCGCTTGGATCATTGCTAATATTAATTGCCAATCCCATTCTCACCGATAATCTAAGCCAGGGGTTGCCAATCTTTTGGACCTCAGGGACCACTAAATTCATAATTTTAAATCCCACAGACCACTAATATGATCTGCCTAATGACCGGCTGGGTGGGCGTGGCTAGGTGGTCATGTGACTGGATGGGCATGGCCAACTTGATGTCATTCATACCAAGGGGCCTCTACTCGCTCCTCCCCTCCCAGCCCTCCCCTGCCCGCCCTGGCTCCCTAGGCCCCCAACAGGAAGCAGTTGCTGGAGCTAAGCAGCCACCATGAAAAAGAATTGGCAAAACATCTGGCTCAGCTCAAATTGGATCTGACCAAGAAGGAGGCTCAGCAGAAGCACCTCACTGAGGGCTACGAGCTCTCCAAGCATAGGGAAGACCTGCGGGAGTGCAAGGCCAGGTACCTGGCCTGAAGGTTCAGCGGGCTGAGTTGGTCAGCCAGTTCCAGGCCATGATGCAGTCCCACTGGAACGAGGCCCTCCGGCTCTTCACCACCACCAGCACTTCAGCCTTCGCCCAAAGCCCTGCACCGAAGTAGACCCCATGTCGGAATATCTGCCCCCCCTCCAACTCACACAAAAAGACCCCGAAGAGGGAGACTCTCTGCAGCAACACAAACGTTCATTGCACATATCCATCCCAGGGGCTCTAGTTTGAGGACCCCTGATTTAGTGCAATATAAAAAATGCAAATAATTTTTCTGTGGACCATCAAAATTTTCTCACGGACCACCCAGTGGTCCACGGACCGGCAGTTGGTGACCTCTGACTTAAGGCAATGTTTCTCAACCTTGCCTCAAGATGTGTAGACTTCAACGCCCAGAATTCCACACGTCTTGAAGTTGCCAAGGTTGAGAAGCACTGTTCTCATGCTACAACGTCGGAATCTTGTGCATCTCTGCTGGGAAAACCATCGACATCAACCGGTTGCAACAACAAGGACCAAGGGAACAACACGTCTCCATAGAAACCAGACAACCAAAACCCACTGCGCCCACTACGCGAGATATTTAAAGGAATAAGGCCTGCCATCAACAGATGCTCACGGCGGTTAAGTGTGCGAGTTTGATCACCTGGGTTTCTGCGTTAATATTCCAACCGTGGCAAAGAATCCTCTTAATGATTAAACTGTTGGCTGAGTTTTCTCTTGTATCACCTGAATTTCAACCAATTCCATCTGAGAGGATCCAACTTAGGTTTATATCGTTGCCTAAAGTGCAGGCCGCTTTCTTGGGTAGCAATGTCCTGCAAAGGGTTCGTGAAGTTTTTGCTTCAAAAACCTAAGCTTAGGAAATAGTTGTAAAAATATTCTTAATATTTCGTTTTACTTTGATCCTGCCATTTCTTTATATGCTTGTAAATCAAGGTGGTTCATGACCAAAGAGCCATTGAATCAGGGGTGGGTTTCTCGCCCCGTTCCAACCGGTTCGGTTGGAACGGGGACGGCGGCGTCCTCGTGCAC